AAATGTTCTGAAGGGTCTGCATTTCAAATCAGTTTCAGATTGGGGAAGAATGCACTTCATGAGAAGGAAGAATAAACTGTCTTAACTATCTTAACTCTGTGAGACCTCTCAGAGCAGTGTCTAAATCATACGTCCCGCAGAAGTCAGTTTCAGGGACAGGCGAACGGCAGATGGTATTTATCCCCAGCAGTGTTCATCGTCTCAGTGGACTGGGTGTGAAAACACAAACATGAGCCATATGTCCATCGTCTGAATTGGTGGGAAGCCTCCAAACACCACTTAATCCAGAGAATGACAGATTGAGATACCAAAAGAAATCTGTTGAGAAGTAGGAGAAGATACCTCATCTGCTTCCAAATTTAGCAAAGTGCCAGACACAGAGTTGTACGAGAACCCAGGAGAGGCAGCCTTGCCTGAGGACAGAGGAAGCCTCCTCCAACCGGCATAAACACAGTGCAACCTCGCAGCCCTCACCCCTCCAGGAAGGGAGCTTTGGATGAAGCAATGTCCTCAGAATCTTAACCCTACATCTTTACTGTCTTTCAGAAATGAAAACCAACTGGAAGATTTGTTAAAGTCTAAAACTAGTAAAGTAGAAAAGAAATCTTGCTGCTACAGACAAACAATTCTGGAGGAAAATCAGTGATAAACATGAAAGAAACCCCAAAAAGCCAAGATGGCCTTCTAGGACCTGTCACTGAAGATTTTAAAGACTTTAAGAGGAAAAGTGGTCAAAATTAAGTACAACAGAGTCCAACACCTCAAAGGAAAGGTAAACGACCATCTAATAATCATCCAGCCACTTTGCAGAGACAGTGATTTGCAGGAAAAACATCTTTGAGAGGTTCAGTTATCTCTAAAGGATTCACATCATGTTGCTCTTAATAACGCCAACTTTTGGTTGCTATTTGACTAAAAAAAATTTAAAGCGTTAAGTTCAGAAAAAATAATCCATCATCTGTCGTTTCAATAGTTCTAGTCTGAATAAGATTGGTGCTTCATAACGTTAATCTAAGTATAGTTAAGACAGACACATATTTTTGAGTGAGTGAAAAGAAGTTATGAGAGAGTTTAGTAGGATTCTTTTTTGGGAGAAAAACTGCAATTAGCTAACAGGATGCTTGAAACTAAATAGTAATGTACCTTGCTGGTCATTTTTGTGTAGTCAACCTCTTCTTTTTTAATTAAAAATTTTAATGTATTTGTTTTTAATTTAACTTTTATTTTATATTGGGGTATAGTCGATTTACAACATGGTGTACAGCAGGGTGATTCAATTATGCATACACATGTATCCATTCTTTTTCAGATGCCTTTCCCATGTAGAATACAGAATGCCTTTCCCATGCAGAATATTGAGTAGAGTTCCCTGTGCTGCAGAGTCCTTGTTGGTTGTCTATTTTATATATAGTAGTGTGTATATGTTTATCTGAAACTCCTAATTTATTGCATTATTTATTTAAAAATTATAGGCCTAAGTTTTTGAGCAAAGTCTTTGAAAAAGAAACCATAGATAGAAGATTTATGGAAGATACAATGTGGGGAATCACAAAGGAAATAGAAAAAAAGTTCTTCTCAAGATAATTTAGCAAAAATTCATCTCAAGACATGGGGGCGGTAATGTGTGGGCCGGAGAGAATTTGATTTATGAGCCAGGCGCACCGATCCACACTGATGGAGCCCTCTGTTTGATGTTCTCATTAGATTTACCATGCTGCACAGACTAGTGCTCTGAGCTGTACTAGCAATTTCACCCTGCACCGATTTCCCCCTGAGATGAGTTCAGCCTGGGGGCACCTGATATTGTCCACATTGCAAGCTGAGGGGGAAAGGCCCCTCTTCACCCACTTCCTTCCCATGTGCAGTGTTGGCCCTCGGTCTCACTCACTTTGTAGTGAGGGTGTTTGTGTTCACCCAGTTGTTTAGAATTTAGGGGGTGTGGACATAGGGCCATCAGCAGGTGTTTTCATGAGGAAAGACCATCTGATGTAGAAGAGGTTATGTGAAATCCTAAAGCTGATGAGCAGCTGGTGAAAGGATGAAAGTGCTGGTCCAAGATTCTGAAAACTCAACTTCCCAGCTCCCTTGGGACTTCAGTCCTAGGGATGGAATCTGCTGAGGCTCCAGAGGACGGCTTCTCTGAGTTGCTGAGGCTGTGGTCACAGAGGTAACAGGAAGCATGATGGCCGCCACCACACAGGTGCACCGCATCAAAGAATGTGCCGCCTTTCCCCACAAGACATGCCTACCGTATGCTCACATTTGAGTATACATGTGTGTGTGTGTGTGTGTGTGTGTGTATTGCAAAGTGCTGAAGAAACAAAATTTTACAAAGGCTCAATACTTCTGATATGCTTAGAATGACAAGAGCTGCAAAAGCAACTCAGAATTAGATTCCCTTTTACAAAACCACAGATGGATTTCAATCTGAAGGCACAATGTAGGAAGCAAATTACTATTGTACTTTTAGGTAAGAGAAACACAGTGAGGCAAGCTCTGCCTTTGAATCAAAGTAGTCATATGTCTAAATGGCTTGTCTTCTTGATGCTAAGCACATGTTTTGGAAGTAACTAATGATAACATGGGAGAAGGAAATGGCAACCCCTTCCAGTATTCTTGCCTGGATAATTCCATGGACAGAGGAGCCTGGTGGCCCCCAGTCCAGGGGATTGCAAAGAGTCAGACACGACTGAGCGACTAACACTTTCACTGATGATAACAAACACATTGTACTCACTATGTGCTGGGCGCTGTTCTAAGTGCTTTAAATGTCCTAAGGCTTTCTCATCCTTAAAATAACCCTAAGGTTGTTGTTATCCTCCCTACGATGAGCATGTTATAGGACACAGTAGATGCTCAATAAAGTATTTTGTGAATGAAATTAATAAAGCAAACAACCATTAATCACTTTATTTTCTTTTTGCTCTTAATAACAACTCATTCTTTCCCACTCCTGAACTTCCTTTATAATAATAATAAACTTGTTCTTCAAAACTGGCTGTCTGTTTTGAAGCAAATGGTGAAGGAGAAGGGAATAGCTAGTGGAATTTAACTTGGATAGTATTGTTTTATGATATACATTTGTTCCCACAGTATATTATGTCAAACCTTTCATACACTCTCTCTTACATATTTACTTAATAATACATTTGTTCTTCAAACTAGCAGCATCATTTTTACAAAGATTGAGAAGAACAGGACACTCTGGTTAATAGAATTATGCTCTAAATTAAATCGCTAGATCAGTAGCTGTTTGGATTTGTGGACAATCTCAAAAGACCATGACTTCAGAATCCAGGGTTGTCTGTCTGTGCCAAGAACATAAATAAGAAAATATGGATAGTATCTGTTTTCCTGAAAGAGCATCAATGGATCATGAGTTCATGATTAAAACAAACATATAGTAAGGTAAATTATAGGAAATTATTGTCTCTGCAGGTCAAATATGAATAATTTTATATGATTCAACTTAACAGATTCTGTCATATTTTAACACAGTGTTACTACTGAATTTTATTTTCTAGGCAAATAGTGAAGGAGGTGGGAATGGTTACTGGAATCTAACAAGGTTGGTATTGTTTTATGATACAGTTTCATTCCCACAGTAAACTATGTCAAAATTTTAATACACTCTCCCTTACATATAAACTCAACATTTCCTTTGTATGTCTTCATTTACTGATTTTAAGATTATGGAGTTATGGGATATTCATTCACATAAATTCCAAAAAGTCTCTGAGGCACTGTCCACTCAAATAGAATATTTAATATTATAATAGTAACTGGAAGGACTGATGCAGAAGCTGAAAGTCCAATACTTTGACCACTCAATGCAAAGAACTGACTCATTGGAAAAGACCCTGATGATGGGAAAGATTGAAGGAGGAGGAGAAGGGGACAATGGAGGATGAGATGGTTGGATGGCATCACCAACTTGATGGACATGAGTTAGAACATGCTCCGGGAGTTGGTGAGGGATAGGGAAGCCTAGCATGCTGCAGTCCATGGAGTCATTAAGAGTTGGACACCACTGAGTGACTGAACTGAACTGAACTGAACAGTAACTGACTCAGCTACTAAATATACTTTGGTTTATAGACTACCTAAATATCTTTTGAAAAACACATTTCCAGAAATAAATGTAAGACTCTATTATAAAATGTGACATTTTCTTTTAGGTTAATTCCCTACTAAAAAGCCCCCACTAAATTATTGAGAGAATATTTTCTGAGTATAAAATAATAACAACAATTGATGTTTACACTCCAGAACTTCTCCTAAAGTATTAATATATCCACTTAATGTAGTCCAAATCATGTGACATCAAGATCTCTGCCTGATTCCTTCACTCTGAATGTGGATTATTATGACTAAAGAGTGGATTTGGGTCTTTAAATGTGACCACTTCCCACCCACTTATAGGTATTTGCAAGTTTTAAGCATGTCATTTGGGCAACAAACCAAATTCTAAAAAAATAGCACTTGTACAATGAATGTTCTTCATGGAATGTTTTTTTACACTGCTATATACTTGGTAGCAGCTTCCCTGATGGTTCAGATGATAAAGAATCTGCCTGCAATGCAGGAGACCTGGTTTCAATCCCTGGGTCAGGAAGACCGCCTGAAGAAGAGAATGGCTACCCACTCCAACATTTTGCCTGGAGAATTCCGTGGACAGAGGAGCCTGGCAGGCTACAGTCCATGGGGTTGCAAAGAACTGGACACGACTGAGTGACTAACACTTTCACAGTGGGTAAAGGCCCAGGAAAAGCCGTACAAGTGTTAGAAAACCATACATAAGAAGACTACCATATACCCACCTGAATAAATTCTGTATCCAGTTTGGTCAACATTTTTGAATATTTACTGGGTTGAAAGAGGGTCAGCCCCTGCCCTCTGGGTGCCCACCACTAGTGCGGGAGACCCCATGCATGCCTGAATCCCATACGAGGCAGAACTAAACAAGTGCTATGAAAATAAAAGCAATAAGTGATTCTCACTGACACAGAAATCTGAGCAAACTTCTAGCTCAGGTACTTTATTGTTGGGTCACTTCTCTGGACTGACGTTTTGTTAACAGTAGAGGTCTGGCAAAGGGACATTTGAGGGTTAATCTTCCATTTGTACATATAATCCCCATTCTTCCATAAATTGCATGAGATAGGCTTCATTTTCTTTGGGTGCCTTGTCTGGAGCCCGATCCTGGTAGAGTCTAGATAAGAGGCCCTCCTCCCCGACCCCCTCAGATTCAGGATGCCCACATCCCTCTGGGTCATGTTGAAAGCTGGGTAATGAAGGCATACACAGCTTGCCAGTCTGAGGGTCCCAATCAACCAGCGTGGTGGATGGCTCTTCCGCTGGCCCCTCCTCTGTGTCCGCATGCTCCTGCCGCAGATGGTCCAAGTCTCTGAGCTGAGGGGTATATGAATACAGCAGTGTCTGTGGACCCAAGTCTGCTGAAGTTGCCTGTTGCTCAAACATCTTTCCTTGGAGGGACACCTCCTCCTGCAAATTGAACTCCTGTCCTCTAGACCCCACAGAAGTGTCACTACTTCTTACATCATATTCATATTCAATGACTGCTTTACCCATAGGCATTGATCTGCTGGGTGGCTCTTGCTGGGTTAAGGAAGCCCCTCTGGAGCTTTTCTCAAGGTCATACACGATGTCCATCACATGTGATACATAACCAAGGTGTTCCACCTCCGCATCCTCCCAATGGTGTTCCTGGTCCTCGATGGGCTCATTCAGGTCTGATGCATCACTGCTTTTCTCCATTACACTTATACCCTTGGGAGAAGTTTTAGAATCCTCCAAAATATTGAGGGTGATGAAGTTAATCACAATTTTTTCAGTAGGTACAAAAAATCTTTTGTCAAATTCATTTCCATAAATCAAAACCTAAAAAGAGAAAAGAGAACAGTTCTCACCTTTTCACTTTAGAGAGACATTAAAAGCAGCTGTTAGTTAGAATTTATACTGTCCCCACATAGTTTTAAAGGCCTATACCTACCAACTCATGGAAGTGAAAGTTATGCTTGGAGTACGCAGGACACCTCCCTCACCTGGACCCAAGGGCCCCCAGATGCACGAGATGCATATGGCAGTGAAAAGTGGTTCCCTGGGTGGTCCTGATCTAATCCAAGGGTCAGGGTGTGATTGCCCCTTCCTCTAATTGGCTCGGGGCATTCAGGGGGTTGTTTAAATTCTGGAGCCTCATTTTTAAATTCTGTAAAATCAGAATTCCTGCTGTGTCAGGAGGGGTGAAAACAAATAGAGGTTTTGAAATTCCTTTGTTAATCACAGTTTGAAAGTGAAAGTCACTCAGTTGTGTCCAACTCTTCGCGACCTTATGGGCTGTAGCCTGCCAGGTTCCTCTGGGATTCTCCAGGCAAGAATATTGGAGTGGGTAGCCATTCCCTTCTCCAGGGGATCTTCCTGACCCAGAGATCAAACCCAGGTCTCCTGCATTGCAGGCAGGTTCTTTGCCACCTGAACCACCAGGGAAGCCCTAATTACAGTTTAAATGTATTTATCAATAAATCGTCCTCTGGGCCACCAGCTCTCTTCTGCATATACTCTGGACAGGAAATGTGGAAGGGTATGAAAACTAGGTGTAAAAAGGGAAGTAAGCACATGGCTAGAGATGGTTTAACTAACTGCCCCCCTACACTATGCTATAATAGGGCCAAAATCAGAGATTCACCTGCCAGTTCATAGCAGATAGAGAAACTCTAGATCATGGGAGAAAACTTGTTCAAGATTAATATTTTGCTGGGGATACATGGACGGTGCCAATTTAGACTGTTGACCATGAATTACATTCCAGTTCTCATTGTCCACCCTATGATGTGATTTCATTTAACTAGAAAATAGGAACTCCAACATCATTCTTTCATGAAAGCTTTGGTTTCAAAAAGTCACACATGGTCAGTTCTCCTGTGCCTTTTCCTCCTAGGAAAGCTCTCCCTATCTCATTAAAAAGCTAACTCTGAAACCTAAATGAAGGCAGAACAATAGAAATGGTTTTTTTTTTTTTTTTAATTTTATGTAGCTCAACTCATTTATTTAGTCTATTATTGTCTTTCCAATATATAATTAACATAAAATTATTAATGATATATTTTATATTCTTTATTTTTTTCCATTTAATAGAAATGTTTTAAAACAGAAGAGAAATGCATGTATGTATCATGTACATATGAACATGTATTTTGATAATTCCCAAAGAAATAATTTTTGCTTGTTAAAATAAGCTCAGCCCTTGGGAACCCTCCAGTATATGGTCTAGAAGCATAAGGTTTGTTCCTTCTTCTGTCTTCTTGCTTCTCCTTGCTGTGAGTGATGAAGTCCTGGCCACTTTCCCCCTAAACGTGTCTCCATCCCGTATCTGTCTCCAGCCCTATCTCCCACTCTCCTCTTTCAGACTCTCATCTTCCCTCTCCTGGACAACTCTCACAGCCTCCTAGCTGCTTTTTTTTTGTTTCTAGGCTTCCTCCCCTTAAAGTTGCCTTTAACACTATCCAGTTGTATCTAAAACCCAATATTGACTCTGAGATTCCAACCCAAAATCCTACAGAGTTTTGCAAACACAACGAGGCCCAAGGTCCCTAGAATAGCATTTTTCTCCCATTACTTGGCCTTACTCCCTCAGCCTCTTCTTTCATACCTCCTTTTCAGGAACCTTATTTCAGGAGCATTATTATGTGGTTTCCCAAACATCCACCCACCTTTGACTCTGCTATTTTTTCTGCCTGTGGTAGGTGCCCCAACTCTCTCTCAACATTCATGACCAAGCCCCGGCATGAAATTCCTTCTGATCTTCCAGGTAGCGTGCCACTGTCCTTCCTGTACCCTCAAGAATTCTGAAAACCCACTTTCATCTTAGTCTTCACATATCACTTAAAAATTCTAGTTCCAAACTAGACTTAAGCCTCTGGAGGGGCATGGGTCATAACAATTTATCTGTGTACCTCAAGACCGAGTCTAATCTGCTCAGTAAATATAAAGTCTTTGTCAATGTAAAGGAATCTTTCTCTTGAGTTTCGTTAATGAGCTAACCTAGTACAGAAAGTGTTTTTAACTCAACTCTTTAACTTGAAACTCACTCTGCCCATAAAAGGAATGGTATCTGTTCTAGAACGTCCTTTTCTATCTTCTTGGAGGTGTGTCATCGTGCCTCTTACCACAATAAGCACTCACCAGATTTGCTGGGTGTTTCTCTTTGCCGACATGGATATATCTGTACATGGAGTAGCCCATCACAGAAAAGATAAACACGGTAACAGATACGGGCAAAACATACCAGAGGATGATTTTAACCTCCAATGCAGTTGTCTGATCTGTAAAAACAGAAAAGCGAGGTGGGGTAGATAGTTGTGATTTGGTGGGGTGGGAAAACATTGCTAATGTCAAGTGACTTTGCAGAGATCAGTTTAAAAATTAAGTTTTATCATTTATAAACGGAGGAGCTTGAGCGAAATGTTATAAGAGATCTCAGAATTCTTACTCTGTCTGACAATAGATGGCCTTAAGGAATCATCTGGACTTGTCTCAAACCTTTATGGCAAAGATGCCTTAACAACCCAAGTCAGCAGATATTCCAACAGTTTATATTTGGCTGTGAGACTCATACTGGTCTTTATATTTGAAGTTAAGTGTATATTAAGGCAACTCAGAGCACTGAAAACCAAACAAAACCCTCTTGTGATGATCCCATTAAGCTGCTCCACATTTTCATGTCACTCATTCAACTCAATCTTTTCCACATATTCAGGAGAGGAGAAGAACATATGGTGTCATCTTCTGTGTAACAAATAGAACCACCCTATACAGTTGGCCAGGCCTTCTGGTAGGTCTGGAGCTTGGGGATGTGTGTGGGAGGTGGCTGAGGGGGTATATGCCGAGGATGGCAGTAACTCCCTTCCAGGTCCTGCTCTCCTGTAGATGCATAGTGAATTTAAAAGTCCATAGAGGAATGAAAAGATCTGCTGAATAGTTTTAATAAAAGTAGTCCTGGATCACCACTGATCAGACTGTATGGTTGATGGACAGGACTCATTGTGACTAATTTATATTTGCTAAGCTATGGGGTACTTGAAAATTGAAAGGGTTAACTTTACATGTCAATCTATGTAGGCCAAGGTAACCAGTTATTTGGTCCAACATTATTTCAGATGCTTCTGTGAAAACTTTTCTTAGATGAGATTAGCATTTATATGAGTAGACTTGAGTAAAGCAGATTACCCTCTATAATGTGGGTGAGCCTCATTCAATCAGTTGAAGGCTTTGATAGAAAAAAGACTTGATTACTCCCCACTCCTCTGGAGGAGAGAATTCTGTTACCTGATCACTTTCAGACAAGAACTGTAATATCAACTCTTCTTTGGTTCTCCAGCCTGCTGGCCTGCCCTGTGGATTTTGAATTTACCCTGTGCCTTCAAAATCATGTGAGTCAACTCCTTAAAATAAATCTTTTCTCTCCCTCTTTGAGTATATACTATAAAGATTATGTATATTGTGTTCTCCAGAGAATTGTGACCAATACAGCTGTAGAAAAAGGGGCTGCTTTAGCACAAGTGACAAAAGTTCTAGGGCATTGTGCATGCATGCTCGGCCGCTTAGTTGTGTCTTTGTGACCCCTATTGACTTTTTGTAACCCCAGGGACCCCAGAAACCCACCAGGCTCCTCTGTCCAGGGGATTATCTCAGCATGAACACTGCAGTGGGTGGCCATTTCCTCCTCCGGGGACATTTCTGACCCAGGGATCAAATCCACCATCTCCTGCACTGGCCTCCTGCACGGGCAGGTGGATTCTTTACCACTGAGCCACCGGGAAGGCCATTCCTTACATACTAATACAGTCAGCAGGAGTGTCCTGAGAGCATTCTAATCCATGCAGACACTGGATGCTCTGGATGCCTAGTCCTGGGAGAAAGCTGCCAAGTCACTGTCCAGTTAAAAAAATGGAAAGAGAAGCATCATGGACTTCTGGTCAACAAGTACCAGTAGGAAAGGTCCAGGTACATGGGTCTAACTGCAGGTCCTTCCATCCTGAAGGACGCATCTGTCTACAAGTTCCACATAGAAAGACGCCAATAATGCAGATATGGCAGGTGACTGAGTATCACCTGCTCCTATTTCAGGCTACAACTCAGCCCAGTCCTCTTTAAAAAAAAAAAAAAAATTTGTACTGGGGCTTAGCTGATTTACAATGTTGTGTTAGTTTCAGGGATACAGCAAAGTGAATCAGTTATATGTAAACATATATCCACTCTTTTGGATTCTTTTCCCATACATGCAATTACAGAGTACTGAGTAGAGTTCCCTAGGCTATATAGTAGGTCCTTCTTAGTTATCTGTTTATTCCAGTGTGTCTATGTCAATCCCAGTCAGTCCAGTCCGCTTAATTCAATCTCTGGTCTCTGGACCAAACCCGCCCTGCTTAAACAGGGCTGCGACAACAATGACTGATGGCAGCAGCACAAATTTGCAACAATCAACTAGTAAGCTGTGTCTGTGTTTTAGGAACTGGGGGATTCTGGAGACCAGAAATATTTCCAAGAACAGTCCCCAAAGAGGTAATAGCAAGTTTTTGAAAAAAGTAGACCCTCATAGTGGTGTCTGAGAAAGGTACCTGGGTTGATCAACAGCTAGGAGATCACAGAAAAGGTCAGAATCTGAAAGGGAACCTTGTTGTTTTGTTACTTTTCCAGGACTAGTGAGAAAGGCAGATCCATCCGTTTACTGGGAAGTATTTAATTTAATCTGTATTTTAGTTGCTTTAGCTTTGCCAATGGCTTGAATGATTTCCACTGGGAATTCATTCCTACCATTTGGCCACTGATCAAGCTGTTAGTAAACAGAACACTCTTCCAAATACAAAAATGATTTCCTCAATCTGCTTTGCTTTGCCTTTTGCTTGTTTTGCATTTTAATTTTATTGGACATATGGTAGAGAATCCTTTGTTTAAAAGGGGAAGGTATGATAAGGATGGAGATTCAAACATAAGGCTTTTCACTTTTGATACGTAGTCACAAAATTCCCTTTTTAATCCCTGGACAGTTTAATCTCAAAATGTGGAAGGCATGAGGAGAGAAGAAAACAGGGATTCTGTCACCAATCTTGTCTCTTAGCTGTGATGAAAAAAGGCTTGGGAGAAAATGGTTGTTTCATGCAGAAAGCCAGCACATTTGAAAGACAGACAGAAGAATGGACGAAGAGCTGTTCCATGAAGGTAAACTTTAGGATTTATTTTCAACTTTTATGTTTTGATTTCAAGGTCTTACCACTCTCAGGGAAAGTGTCAGTCACTCTGTTGTGTCGGACTCTTTTGCGATCCCATGGATTGTACCCAACCAGGCTCCTCCATCCATGGGATTCTCCAGGCAAGAGTAGTGGAGTGGGTGGCCATTCCCTTCTCCAGGGGATCTTCCCGACTTCAGGGATCAAACCCAGGTCTTTTGCATTGCAGGCGGATTCTTTACCCTCTAAGCCATCAGGAGGACCCTCCCTCAGGAAAGAACAAATAAACAAATGCCAAGCTCCTAACTCTAGTCTCCTAACAGGAACAAGAATCTTCAATCATACTTCCTTGTCAGCCAGGTTCAGAAAACATGAGGAGACAAATAAATGGAGAGAGAGAAGCAACCATAAGATGGAGACAGCAGTAACTGATTTGCTGACCCCAGGCCCTCCCACAGCCACTGAGTGATATTTGAACACAACCCTCACAGTCTCTAATTTGTATTCTGGAGGAGAAGCCAAACACTATCTTAGAGTGTTTTTAGGGTACTGTCTGTTTCTAGGAATAAAACCATCTGATGTTCTTTAAGACCCACAGGACTTCTACTGATCGGAGTGATTATAGATTTAAAGACGAAAGACCATGTGTGTAAAAATTTCTATAATTCTAATTCTGCAAGGCAGAGTGATGTTGGCAGTGGATGCCAGGACCCATATTGAGAATTCCCCAGGACGTGAAAACACTGTGAGTCCAGTTCAGAGGCAGAGTCCCAGGCTGTCTGGGGATGGTTGTTTCTGCCTTCGCTTCAGCCTGTTTCGGGTAGACATGGATTTGTTAAAACCTTGTCTGCGCCGCCATACTTCCTTCTAGTTTTACCAGATTTCCTTCCGCAGATGAGCTGAGATTTTCAAAGCTTACCTTCGAGAGTACTGACGCACTGCCTCTCAGAGGGCTGAGTGAGGCGAGGAGGGCCTGGGACAAAGGACTCCACGAGCACGCAGTACAGAGTGGCCGGCTCCAGCCAGCTGAAGACCAGAGTGTGGTTTGTCACACACTGGGACCACTAGGATCGGGAATTGCAAACACAGTCAGAGCCAAAGATTTCCAGCAACCCCCAGACAAACAACGACAGAAAGAAATAAAAGATGGAGGTACCATTAAGTCCTTCACTATCACTATGAGTTTTCTTTTTTGCAACAGCTTTAAGATAACTTTCCCCTTCAGCTCGGCAGGGCATGGTCAGGAACTAAACAAATTGTGGGAACAATTCTAAATAATGACATAGGAGGGATTTCTTATTCAACTTTATCCTGTGTTCTTGCTAATATTTTTTTCTTTCTTGGAGAGTGACTGGCAGATGTTAAGCAAGCAGAAACTCTCCAGCAGGTGGACAATTGCTCTGCATGTTAGCAACAACATCATAGCAGAGACTCTAAAGAAAATCTGAAGGTAGCTCTTTAAATTTCTATGCATCACCTTCAACTGTATCCTGCAAGGCATCACTTTTGAGTATCACACCTTTCCAGATTCACATGCCAGGAATTTTAGAATCAGGGCTGCATGTTCCAGCATTAGCTTCAGAAAGTGACACAGATTATATGTATAGGTCCCCATTCCATTTCAGGCTTACCATTCTATTGGATTTAGTATTATATATGGACACATTATACTTCAGATTAGAGTATATTTGTTGCATGGAAATAGAGCTTTCTTCTGGATTTTTCTTCCACTTCTTTGGAGCCGTCAGAACAATAGAAATGGATTTCTCATCAGTAGTCAAAGCAACCTCTGGTGGGCCAATTTGTGCTTAAAGGGGAGGCAAGAGGGAATTATCATGTTCAGATGTAGAAAACACCTTGGATGAAGCTACAGTATAATTCTACTGGGATCAAAGCTCTAAACCCTATCCTCTTATTTGAAGTGCCTCAGAATGCTCACCTAGACCCAAGTTATACCAAAGTTTGAAATAATCAAGTCACAGACTCTGATACAATGTTAAAACAGCTGATTTAGTTAGTCACATGTAGTTCCTAGTTACTTGGATAAACAGTACCAGTGGATAGTATATACAATTAAAAGTGTTTGCAATACTACTATGACCTGACAAGTTGATGATAAATAACTTAATCAGATTTGATGTGTTTGTAAAGATCAGCAGTGGAGAAATGAAGCACTGCTAAAGACCTTTGGGGATGTAAGCTTGGGAGAATGATTGAGAACAGAGATTAGCAAACTTTTATCACAAAGGTACAGGCCGTATTTTAGGCTTTGCAGGCCATGTGATCTCTGTTGCAACTATTATTTATATAAACGTAAAAACCATTCTTGTCCTGTAGAAAAATAGAAAGGAGTGGAGCGCTGTATTTAGTCTGAGGCTCTGGTTTGCTGACTTCTGATCTAGAAGGGCAGCAAGGGGAAGGTGCCAGCTCCAGACCTCAGGGAGCACTTGTAAATGTCATCCTGGCAGCTCTGAGTGGCTCCTCTATGGCTGAATCAGTCTTAGATTGGGGACGGAAAAATTTAAAAAGCAAATACCAGGAAGATGTTGCCCTTGTTCCGAGTTATACCTAGAAATTATGTCATCACACTATCGAGTTTATAACAAGCAGAGACAGTTTGGTGATCAGAACAATCTTTTTTTAAACTTATTTTTAATTGGAGGATAATTGCTTTACAAAATTGTGTAGTTTCTGCTGGACAACAATGTGAATCAGCCATAGGGACACATACATCCCTGCCTCTTGAACCTCTCCCTGAAAATAATCTTTAGTCAACCTGTGGGCATATGCCAAATAGTTTATAAAACCACAACATTAAGATAATCCTGTCAGTTGTTCCTGAAATTATACAGTCTCAATTGAGCAATAAAACAAAATCAAAATTTGACAGTTTGGCCTCTAGTGCCAATTCTGGATCGGGGAGCAATCTGAGAGACACTTGGTCAAACCTTTTTTTCTAAAGATGAGGCTCTGAGATACAGTAAGGTGAAGTACCCAGTACTGGGCTGGTCACTCCACCTAATGGACAGAGTGCAGAAGAGAGCCAAGCAGAGCGCTGGGATTTGGACAAGGCTATCTATGAGGCAGAGATTGTTACATTAGGCCAGATGAACTTGATACTTATTTAATACACAACTGAGCTACTTACTTTCTAAGAAAGGATAGAATCGTCCAGTTTCTGCCCATTTGGAGCAATTTGTTCCCCACATGGCCTTAACTTTAGCATAATATTGATGTTCATAGTCAGAAGTTTCAGCAGAGAGGTCACAGTAGGTCCTACTGATATTTCTGCATTCAGATTTATTCAGCCATTTCTTCTGCCCATATCTGCTGAGAAGAAAACTGTGAATCAACAATGAGGTGCTCTCCATGTTTTACAACAGGAAACAAAAACAGTCATTATATAAAATTGAATGGAACTTAAGACCTTCTCTTCAAAACAACAAAAGTGCCTGTCATTGAGATAAAAAGAATCTACTTTTGCTGCTAGCAATTTTTTTCATTAGCTGTCAGGAGCATGAGTCAGAGTTTCTGTAATCATCTGTCTTTTCTGTGAATTATAATGTGGATAGTACATTTGAAAGCATGTATTTTTTTATTATTCTTGGGCTACAGTATAAATATTACAGATTGTGAGATCAATTTTGCTATGTAAGTTTACAGCCCACATGCATACCAAGGTCAGTTTGATGGATAGTTTTTGTTCGTTTGTTTTAGATGGGGTGTTTTAAGATAAACTACTAATTTTTTTTCTTAGAAATTCTTCTTGATATTCTCATAAAATTTAAAAATACACTTGCCCTCAAGGGTTCTAGGGAAAATTCACTAGGTTGGAGTTCATTTCAAAATCTGCATTTTCGAAGATCATAGTGATAATGATGATACAGACTAGGTTGTTCATATAGATTTTTCCTCTCCTTTATTAAAAACATAACACTCACAGCAAATAGGGAGGGGGGGATATTTTTAGCATTTTTCAGGTGGGAGAGACTGAGGTATTGAGAATTTAAGTGACACGGGATGAGCCAAGTGTAAGAGACAGGGTTGGAGGAGAGGCTACTGAAAGGATGAAAGCAGGCATGTCGGTCTATTAGGTGTGTCGGGCTATTAACTCTGGTGGTAGCGGAGAGAACGTAATGGGTCATGAGTGTCAGACTGGGGAACAGTTGAAGAGAATGCTGCAGTGGGTCAGGTGGAAGATGTAGGTGGATTGCACAAGTATGGTGACAGTGGAGTGAATGACAGGACAAAAGTAAGAAATATTAGGAGACAAGACTCGGTGATTGAGTGCACGTAAGAGATGATGGAAAAGAAGGTGTTAGGCATTACATCTCTTTCTGTCCAAGATAGATAGGTAGAATGGTGGTAACATTTATCCAGATCAGGAATGCGGAGGAAGAGTGGGTTTGAGAAATAGAGAGTGGGGGATGGGGAGGAAAGAAAGATGAGTTCAGTTTTTGACATCCTGAGCTGAAGATATGTGTAAAAGGTATCCGAATGCAGATGTCCAGAAGGAACTGGAGTTCGGCAGAAAGCTGTGCGTGGGAGGTAGGGATTTTGAAATCAGTGACATAAAACTGCTCGTTGAAGCCACAGGCATGAATGAAATTATCCATGGAGACAAAGCAAAGCCTAGGATAATATTTCAGGAGCATCAACATTTAAAGGTGAGATACAAAGTACCCTCAGAAATAGCAGTTAAAGAGGGAGAAGGAAAAAAAAAAAAAAAACAGACATCTCAAAAGTCAAGGGAAGACTGTGTTGAGGAGGAGGAATCACCAACTTTATCAAGTGTTGCCAAAGCTTAAGGATATCTTCCCTTTTCAGAATATGGCAATAGAGTCCTGAAAGTAAACATCTCCTGTTTCCTAAGTACCATAGTTACTAGAAAACATTAAAAATGTAGTTAGATCTGGGGACATCCCTGGTGGTCCAGTAGTTAAGACTTCACCTTCCAATGCAAGGGGTGTGGGTTTGATCCCTGGTTGGGGAACTAAGATCCCACATGCTTTGGCCAAAAAGCCAAAACATAAAACAGAAGCAATATTGTAAAAAATTCAATAAAGAATTCAAAAACAGTTCACATAAACAAAAATCTTAAAAAAAGATAAAAGGAAATAGAGCTAGAGTTTGTTGATCAATTTCTACAATTCAAGTAATCACCATGCCAAGGGGCTTTCACACTTTTGTCACTTTCTGTGATGGTGAGCCACAGAAAGAAATACATCTCACACTATGACCCAGATCACACATATAACTCACATACTAAAACAAAGGTTTTGTAAGATCATACAACTTCACTACATGCCAGGCACTCAGTTATTTTATTACTCGAGTCCCCTCCACACCATCCTAAACCTTGCCATGCTAGTTATGGCCCTCAAAATTGATTTCATGGCTCACCAAATACTAGTGAGAAAAATATTAGAAAAATACTGCCATTGCCTATTTGACCCTTTCTCCTCAAACTTCCTGATTCTGCTAAGGCCGGGGCAGCATCCCATGACAGATGTTGATGGAGAAATATTCTTGACCAAGTTCTGGATAAAATGCTTTGTAGGTTTGACAAGTTGATAGACGTGAATCCCACAATAACTGCCACAGCAATGATGTTTATCCATGCCCAAAAGTCATGTGGGCTCTAGGTGGTCTCCGACTGCTTTCTGGTAACAGCAGGAAACATTTATCAAGGGCCTGTTAAGCATGGACGCGTGCTTAGGATTTGAAAGCTTTATCTCATTTAATTGTCATAATAACCCTTGGAGGTAGGTACCATTATATTCATCCCATTTTACAGATGAGGAAATCGAGGCTCAGGATGTAAATGGAGCTGCTCAAGTTAGTCTGACTAGGAACAGGCATAGCTGGGATTTGAACCACTTTCTCTGATGCTAAAACTCGTGCTTTTAATGCCACACTATATTTTCTGCATTAAATTCCTCTCGTAGGTATAGTTTAAACTTTTGCTAAAATTTCATTTTTTACTTGGAAACAACCTTCACTCAAAAGTAAAAATGTATAATCTATAACCAGCCAGGTCCATAGCCTGGCTGTGAGCCCAGGACTGTTTGCCTTCGGAACTGAGGGTGGAGTCTGCCCTGTATTCCTGCCCACCAACCACATGCACAGGGGGCGTAAGAACTCCAAAACGGAAAATTTACTTTCAAATATTCTTTTTTGAAATGCGTATAATCTAAATGATCTGCTCTCTCAGAGTAGTGATGACTCTCTTTTTTTAAAAAATCCTTTTCTGAATCACACAAACACATGCAGAACAGAGCAAGCTCCTTGCTCCACCTATTGGAAAAGGAAGCAAGGGCACACTCATGAGCCATTTCTCTTGACAGAGTGATGCCTCTTCCCTAAAATGGGTCCTGAGAAACTCACTAGCAATGAGCATGAGGTTCTAGATAAATGAGGTCATTGTGAATAGCAGCCAAAGTCTTCCACTGCCTTTAATGGTCAGAATATTTTTTTTTCAAAGACAAAAATGACATTATTCCTTTTTTTTGGTAAATATGGTACATTTTAAAAACTTACATGATCAGAAAAGCATAATGGAGAGATAAATAAATTACTCCGAAGCCCATTACCCTGAAACATTTGGTACATGTGATTCTGTACATCTCACTGTGCTTATATGTACCCAGAAGAATGATTCAACAGTTGAATACATAGACAAAAACTCGATTATACCATACTTATGATTTTAATAAAAAATAGTAAATTTAATTTGATTTGAACTTTAATGAGAAAGAAATTAAACTGAAATGAATCACTGCAGTTCAAATGTTTCATCACCACAGATATTAGTTCTTAATATCTTTTACTAAGATAGTTTAAGAAAATCATATATGAAAGATATTGAGAGTTTAGTTATTCAAATGATAACATTTTCATTTTGGATCACATATAATAACTTGGCATCACCGACTCAATGGACATGGGTTTGGGTGAACTCCGGGAGTTGGTGATGGATAGGGAGTCCTGGTGCACTGCGGTTCATGGGGTCGCAAAGAGTCGGACACGACTGAGCAACTGAACTGAACTGAACTGAACTGATAATAGCTGGGTGCTATAAAAGTCAGTACACATACAGTCTTTCCCCACCTTATGATTTGCTATATTATTAAGTTCAAACATTTAAAGAAAGTTCTGTAACCACATTTCTCATTACTATTTAGCTTAGTTCTACATTTAGATGGTTTCAATGCATCCTATTCATCTTTTTTGCCACAATCTTGGCATCATTAAGGTCATTTAGGTTCATTTTTATCTCTCTTTCAGTTGGAGATCCTCTTTAGTTAGTGTTTCCCCTCCCAACCCTCTGCAAGAAAGTCTCAGTGGAGTGATATCCCAAGTTCCACCTGCTTGAAAATACATTTGGTGAACTTGGTGGGAGTCTTAGGTCACACCTATATTTCCCTCAGAAGATGTATCACTGCCATCAGCTGAGTATTGCAGATAGAAATCATTGCTTTTACTATGATGGTTATAAATCATGTCATTTTTTCAAAGTTCAATAACTTCACCAGGATGTCTTCCTATTATTTTTATTAAATTTTCCTAGGCAGAGCATGCATTTACAATATGCAGTTCCAGACAGTCATTATTACCTGTTATTACAATTATTGCTATCAGCTATAATAGATTTTTCATCTTCATAAAACATTTTTATTTTCTATCTTCTTCCTAAGTTCTGCCATCTTGCTTTTAAAAAAAGTTCTTCCTCTTGGAGTCTTAGAATCTTCTCTTTGATTGTTTATCTCTACTTTGACACTTACCATTAGAGACCATGTTGTTTATGGACTCAAACTACAGACAATTACTTGTCTGAATTTTTTTTCTATTTCCACAAGAAAGCTTTCAAAAACTTTTAACTTATGTTCATTTTTTTTTCTTTCTCCCTTTCAGTAATTAGGGATAGGTTGCTGGATTCTTTGGGGCAATTACTCTTTGAAGGGAGCAGTTCTTTATTAAATATTAGGTGAATGGGTATGGGAGTGACAATCTAACCCCATACTCGCTCATCATTTTGCATTCTTTCTTGCTTCTCATGAGTTTTGAGGGAGAGGTGAAAAGTGAAAATGTCTGTTCATTACCATCTTTAATAAAAACCATGGGTTGCACAGAATTCTGTACTCAGTTTCACTTTAAAATACCCTGTAATTCTAATAAGTTTACATGTTTCAGAGGTGATGGATCTCCTTGTTTGCTCAGCCATAGAATAACATTTTGATCATCTTCTTTTCTCCATTTAAATATTTCCTCTTGCCTAAGCACTCAACCCTCTGTTTACATGAAGAAATTATTGCCTAATTTAATCTAACAAAACATAACAAGATAATTTAACAGGAAATATCTAAAGTCTCTCTTTTTCTTCAAATACTCATTTAATATAATAGATGGTTTGTTAATCTTTGCATAGGAGTCTAAGTCTTGCTTTTATAAATAAACCAAAGGAAAAGAACCAACTTACATGAAATACTGCACAGTATAACTAACTTCCACACCTTGTAAGCCCTCTGGGGGGTTCCACTGTAGGATATTCTTCATGTTTATGGATATGAAGGTGACATTTGTAGGTTTAGACAGATCACCAGAGACACAGGGAACTGAAAAAGGAGTAGAGAGGAATTGAGGGTTTAATGGAGAGAAAGGAAGACCTAACCTGTGGTGGCTGGTCTCTAGATACAGCCCCCAAGAAGCAGTACCTTCCAGTATTCACGCTCTGTGAATTTCCTTTCAGCCCCACCTGACGTCATGACCCTCTTTAACCAACAGAAGTTATTCTGGGACTGAGCCTTCAAAAGGCCTGGGAGCTTTCACTTTTGCTCGTTTGAAAGCCCTGAACTGCAATATGAAAAGCGGGCTACTCTGCTGGACAAACCATGTCAGGAGGCCATATGACAAGGGAGATGTCCAGCTGCCCTAGTGTCCCAGCTGAGCCCAGCTTCCCAGCCAAGGGACCAGAATGAAGCCACTGTGGACACTGTAGCCCCACTTGCCTCAGACTAAGGCTGCGTGAGAAGCTTTGAGAGAGGCCCGCAGAAGAGCCCTAGTTAATCATCAGAACTGTGAGAAATAATAAAATGATTGTTTTAAACCACCTTACTTTTCTGAAATAAATTACCCCCTGAAATGTGTTGTCAATCATTAATGTTCAATGATTCAACAGAAATTTTGATTAGTGTTTTGTAATTGTTTAAGTGATCCTCTTGGAGAAGGCAATGGCATCCCACTCCAGTCCTCTTGCCTGGAAAATCCCATGGACGGAGGAGCCTGGTGGGCTGCAGTCCATGGGATCGCGAAGAGTCAGACATGACTGAGGGACTTCACTTTCACTTTCACTTTTATGCATTGGAGAAGGAAATGGCAACTCAATCCAGTGTTCTTGCCTGGAGAATCCCAGGGACGGGGTCGCACAGAGTCAGACACAACTGAAGTGACTTAGCAGTAGCAGTAGCGAGTGATCCTCTAAAACTGTTATGTGTTGGTTTAGTTGCTCAGTTGTGTCTGACTCTTTGTGACCTCATGGACTGTAGCCGTCAGGCTCCTCTGTCCAAGGGATTTTGCAGGCAACAGTACTGGAGTGTGTTGCCATTTCCTTTTCCATGGGAACTTCCTGAACCAGGGATCAAACCCAGGTCTCCTGCATAGCAGGCAGATTCTTTACTGACTGAGCAACCAGGGAAGCTTAAAATGCTATATCAATTATCAAAATGTTACAAACTCTGTATCCTAAAGGATCAATTTCTAGAAATCCTCTGTAGAGAAATGATAAAAAAAAATAAACATTTTAATAGTTTAAATAAAAGGAGTAATAGGTTAAATAAAGAGAATTAATAATGTGACAACAATATCAAAACATTAAACAATTTTCTCATCATACCATTCTATTTTTTAAAAATAAAACACATTTCATTATAAATGTTGTGAACCTCTTTGCAAGTTTACATTATGTATACATCATATGTGTTACCACAGTTTTGGTGGCCAGTCTCCAAGATGACCTTCAGTAATCCCCTCCTCCTGGCATTCACAGCCTGCATATTCCTCTCTCACACTGTAGCTGGGTTGGTCTATGTGACCAACAGAGTATGACAGAAGTGAGGGTACATCATTTCCAATATTAGGTTATAAAAGATACTGTGGCTGCCATCTTGCTTTCTCTCATTTGGATCATTTACTCTAGGAAAGGTCAGTTGTCTTTTTGTGAACAGTCCTCCACAGAGGACCACATGGCAAGGAACAGGCCTCCAAGATATGTTGAAGAATTGAATGAAGTTTCTTGCCAAAAGGCACATTAGTGACCTTAGAAGTGGATCCTCCAGGTCCCACTCAAACTTTCAGATGACTGCAGCCTCAGTCATCTATACTCTCATATATACTCTTTTTTTTTTTTTTTCTGGTCCATATTTTTATTTTTATTTATTTATTTTTTTTCAGTATTTTGTTCATTTTATTTTTTTTTCCATTTATTTTTATTAGTTGGAGGCTAATTACTTTACATCATTACAGTAGTTTTTGTCATACATTGAAATGAATTAGCCATGGATTTACATGTATTCCCCATCCCGGTCCCCCCTCCCACCTCCCTCTCCACCCGATCCCTCTGGGTCTTCCCAGTGCACCAGGCCCGAGCACTTGTCTCATGATATACTCTTGACTGTACTCTCGTGAAAGACCCTGAGCCACAACCACCAGGTAAGCCATTACTAGACTCCTGACCCGCAGAAACTGAGAGATAATATGTTGCTTTAAGCTGCTAAGTTTTGAGGTCGCTTGTTACACAACACTAGATATCTAATACAACAAAGAGTCTAAAACCTAGAGAAACTAAGAAAAATTAATCACTTAAAAAAAACACAAGTTAAATGGAGGGAGGAAAAAAATGGTTCCCTTCATTTCCAATGATGTTATAAAGGACTATTGCTTTCATAATCTTGAAAAATGTTCTATTTAGTAGTTTCATTTCATCTTTATGAAAAAATTAAAAAAGTCAATGAGAAAAATGAAAACTTTTTAGACTTTTAATTACAAGTGAGGGTTACAGCAACAATTTTTTGAATTTTTAAAAAAAGATAAATGCTCCGTTAAACGTATTTTATTGGGTTGGCCAAAAAGTTCATTTGGTGTCTTCCACAACATCTTATCATGAACTTTTTAGCCAATCCAATAAAGACACTGATAAGGATTCAGAGTAGTAAACACCTTTAATAGAAATACATTTTAAAATGGATGTTGCTGTTCGGTACACTACTTCTAGGGGAACAATATCCTAGCTTTTAGTCCTTTAGATTCATTTGGATTGACATTATCTTTCAGATTTCCTAGGCAGAAAAGATATCAGTTTTGGATATCCTCTAGTCAATAAATCAAAGCATTGCCTCAGGGACAGCCCTAAAATAACAACAAGAAAAATCTGAAGACATAGGGATACACCACTTGAAGATGGAAGATTGGAGTGATACATCTGTAAGTCAAGAAGCCCGGCTACTACCAGAAGCTAGGTAAAGTGAAGAAGGAGCTTCTGTCAGAAGCTTTAGAGGGGGCATGGCACTGCCAGCCCCTTGGTTTCATACTTCTAGCTTTCAGAACTATGCGAGAATACATTTCTGTTGTTTTAAGCCATCCAGTTTACGGTACTTTGTTATGGCAGCTCCAAGAAACGAATACAGCTGCCACCATGTAGATACATGATGATGAATAAACAGGTACGTTCCTGCCCTTGTGGAGATCCCAGACTAGTGGAAAGAGAGACAGCACTGACAAGTCAAAAATCAAACAAGCACGTGGTGGCCCAGCTATGGAAGACAATAAGGTTGGAGTAGTGGGTCACAGAACCTACTTAGATAGGGGCTTAAGAATCAGCTGTGAGGTGGGAGGGCAGTATTCCAGGCAGACTCCAGAGGTGGCGAAATGCTAATCCAAAAAGACCACGCCCTTGGAATAGTCAAAAGGTCAGTGTGGCTGGAAAAAGTGAAGGCTACTGGCCACGTTGTGATTGAAGAAGTTCAAAGGGGCTAGATCCCCCACCACCACCCCTGTCTTTGTAAATCCTGGAAAGGAAGTTGGGATATAATTGAAATACAGCAGAAAAGCACTGATGCCTTTTAGGCAGTGGAAGTCAAGAGCCTATTTGTATCTCAAATGGATTACTTCACTACTGAGAGGAGAAAAGATTGAATGAGGGCAAGAATAGACCTGGAGAGACAGGTAAGACCACAGCTGCAGCAACCCCAGTGAGGATGGCTGAGCTGTCACCAAGATGCTGGCTGTGGATATGGAAAATGGAGTGGCAACAGCTGGGAGCTCTATTTTCAACGCAGAAACAACAGGAATCTGTGATGAAGCAGAGTTATGAGTCTTATTGGTACGAGAGTTGCCTGTTGTTAAAGCTACATCAACAGATGAGGATTTATTAAGGAATATTTGCCCTTTTGATGACACCAAAGAATGATTAAAAAATAGAATTAGTACTTGTTTCTGAGGGGGAGAAATAGCACATTAAAAAAAAAAGCACAATCAACTAGTATTTCCTTGTGGCGTTTTCATCTTTACAAAGTCATAGGTACTGCTTGTTTCCAGTTTGGAAAAATGTAAAGAAAACACTCCTGAACAAATGTTCCAACTGAGATAAGTCATTTTCTTAACCTGCCCGTACTGATAAGATAATTTAATCAACATCCTAGTGAAAATATGTCATACCCACATTGATATCAGGAGTCATGTGCTGATCTGTGAGTAACAAAAGCAATGCTGCCTTTTAGGCAGTGGAAGTCAAGAGCCTATTTGTATCTAAAATGGATTACTTCACTACTGAGAGGAGAAAAGATTGAATGAGGGCAAGAATAGACCTGGAGAGACAGGTAAGACCATAGCTGCAGCAACCCCCGTGAGGATGGCTGAGCTGGCACCAAGATGCTGGCTGTGGATATGGAAAGTGGGGTGGCAACAGCTGGGAGCTCTATTTTCAATGCAGAAACAACAGGAATCCGTGATGAAGCAGAGTTATGAGTCTTATCTGGTATGAGAGTTGCCTGTTGTTAAAGCTACATCAACAGATGAGGATTTATTAAGGAATATTTGCCCTTTTGATGACGCAAAAGAATGATTAAAAAATAGAATTAGTACTTGTTTCTGAGGGGGAGAAATAGCACATTTAAAAAAAAAGCACAATCAACTAGTATTTCCTTGTGGCGTTTTCATCTTTACAAAGTCATAGGTGCTGTTTGTTTCCAGTTTGGAAAAACATAAAGAAAACACTCCTGAACAAATGTTCCAACTGAGATAAGTCATTTTCTTAACCTGCCCATACTGATAAGATAATTTAATCAACATCCTAGTGAAAATATGTCATACCCACATTGATATCAGGAGTCATGTGCTGATCTGTGAGTAACAAAAGCACTTCTGTTCGCATAGATTTATGACCTGCGAATACAGATCTGATCTTCCGAGAGTACTTCTATTTAATATCCCAAATCACCAAGTTTTTGGATTGGTACACATAATTTTATTTCTGGGCGTGGTGTACCACTGCAACTTTGGTTCGGTACAAGGGTGTCCACAGTCTGGTCTGGCCTCTCCTTAGGTTATTCAGCCAAATGCA